TCCCTTACTTTAATCATAATTCATAACCCACATAATATTATTATAATATTCATATTATTACTCCTTAAACACAAGCTATTAAATGTAAGTTACCTGACTTTATTAATTAATGTAAATCTGACTGCTGAGTATGGGATAATGTATTCTTGTGTAAATTTGTATTGATCCCGTTTGATGCGACAAGGAAAAATGCTCTTATCAGGAAAGGAATTTCTCAACGTTTCAATGTTACAACATCGTATTCATGATCTCAAATTATTTTTTATATATTTTTCCTTGTCGCATCAAACGGGATCAATACAAATTTACACAAGAATACATTGCAACCATGCGACTCATAAACAATACTCCAATCCGGATTTTATATGGGATAATGGCTGTAATATTAACTCTCCTAGTCATTACGTTATGTTGCACAGGGTTTAGTAAATACAGCCATCTACTTTGTCTTCTTTCGATAGCATTTCTCAATTTCTCAGCAGTTAATTGGGGAATGGGGAAAATGGATTCCTTATTAAGTTTATATCAGTTTCTATTTATCGACAGTTTATTTTGTTGACTTAATATTTGTGTTAGTGCTTTTCGTTTGCGTGTAATTTTCAAATCGTACTGTATTTCAGATGTACTCCAATCCTCACTTAACTGCTGCAGTTACAAAGTAGTACAGTACTCAGTAGGGTAACAATGACACAAACAAATCTTGGTTTGGAAAGCTTTCAGGAAACCTAGCATCTTCCTTATCTACATTATCTACTTCCTTATCGGGAATGTACTCTATTGGTGACAAATTGAACATTAATCATTTAATAATTGTATACAAATTTATGTTAGGCGGCATCGATGTAAAACTAATACTACATACCCAAATGATGTTTTAGCTACGTTATGTACTGGCTTATACCCATATAAGGAGTTCAAGTATTAAGGTACTCGAAAATCATTATCCCTTGTTCGTACTAATTGCTCTTAGAAATACGACTCTAATTCAATTATCTTCGACAGACGATTCAGTCATCTTGTACATTGCCCATCTCCTTTGGTTTGAGCACGTCCAGGATTGTAATGTGGTAGTTTTATTTTGTTATTGTATTGTACCAGATGCAATCGTGGAGTCACCTTTTCCCCTCGACATAACAGAAAAAACCTAGACATGCAACCTGCAATCATAAGGTGATTGCAGTCCTTACAGAAGACTATAAGATCTTCGTGCTTTTACAATTAAATGATAAATAAATATTTTGTTAAGGTGTGAGTTTTAAACTAATTACAACACTACAAATCTATTATATATTAATTGTTGAAGCTAAGGTCACTGAAGATGACGCCTTGCAACATGTTTAACGAAAGCCTGTAAATTCATTCTACCATAAATTTAGTCATACTTTTGAATAAAATTGTTGTAAACCAAATTTCATGAGACTATATTTTTCGGCGACTAATTTTAAAGGAGACCAAAATTTCAGTAGAGCATAATATATTACATGAATATTATTGAGCTTACATTGTTCCTACTGCTGAACTACTTTGTTGGGAGGAAAGACCGTTGTGAAACTGCGAAGCACAAAACTGTACCAAAGCGAGAGTGCTAAATCACTCTACAATATATCTTCAGTCGAGTGTAGAGTTATTAATCATCATCCGTACCAACATGTTCTGTTGAAACGGCTGAAGGATCATATCGACATAAACTACGTCGTACCGACAGAAATGGTATTTGGTAAAGTCGAAAAAGGGTGAAAAAGAAACCGAACAGCGTACTGAATAACTTAGTGATACAGAGTAACTGTAAAGTTATTCTACCCTTCCTTTCTGTTGTGATACAATTTTCCGCTCTGATCCAGAATAAGGTTTATAGTTAGGCATGTTGATTAGATTTTAATCAACATGCCTAACTATAAACGTTTAACTATAAAGTATGACTTTATTATGCGAAATCGAGAAAAGAAACTAGCTGAATAATGGAAAAATCAAACAAATGGAATGGAAAATGGTCTCGAAAAGTCTAAAAATGTGACTAAAATCGTTGTAGACTAAAAATTTGCGAAATTTGTGACCAAAATTATTACTTTATTAGCCCTAAGATAGTTTGACTTCAGTATTATATGCAAAAAATTATCTAGTTTCATTGTTCAAAGGGAAAAATATTCCATAGCTCAGGTGTTAGTTTTACCTTGTTAAAATGTTAGTTTACCTTGCTACTGCACGTAGGAAGCATCTTCCTAATTATTTTTTGCCAATAAGTTGTATCATTAAATATTACTCGTTTTAGCGACTGTTGGTTAGTGAAAAAATTTTCCAGGTCTTACTTTACAGTTTACATATATTATAGCCGTATAGCTGATAAGGCAAATAGGCACAATGCCGACCGGCTAATAACCGGCTGATGACCAGTTAATAGCCGGTTAATAGCCGGTTAATAGCCGGTTAATAGCCAGTTAATAGCCGGTTAATAGCCGGTTAATAGCCGGTTAATAGCCGGTTAATAGCCGGTTAATAGCCGGTTAATAGCCGGTTAATAGCCGGTTAATAGCCGGTTAATAGCCGGTTAATAGCCGATTAATAGCCGGTTAATAGCCGGTTAATAGCCGGTTAATAGCCGGTTAATAGCCGGTTAATAGCCGGTTAATAGCCGGTTAATAGCCGGTTAATAGCCGGTTAATAGCCGGTTAATAGCCGGTTAATAGCCGGTTAATAGCCGGTTAATAGCCGGTTAATAGCCGGTTAATAGCCGGTTAATAGCCGGTTAATAGCCGGTTAATAGCCGGTTAATAGCCGGTTAATAGCCGGTTAATAGCCGGTTAATAGCCGGTTAATAGCCGATTAATAGCCGGTTAATAGCCGGTTAATAGCCGGTTAATAGCCGGTTAATAGCCGGTTAATAGCCGGTTAATAGCCGGTTAATAGCCGGTTAATAGCCGGTTAATAGCCGGTTAATAGCCGGTTAATAGCCGATTAATAGCCGGTTAATAGCCGGTTAATAGCCGGTTAATAGCCGGTTAATAGCCGGTTAATAGCCGGTTAATAGCCGGTTAATAGCCGGTTAATAGCCGGTTAATAGCCGGTTAATAGCCGGTTAATATCCAGTCGACATTGTACCTATTTGCCGCTGATAGCAGTAGATAAGTTAATCTATAAATGTTTGTAAACAAGTTGAACCACATTACTATCGCTCCAACTACACCATGTTGTATTGTTGTGTGTTACTTGTTGTTACTTGTTGTTACTTGTTGTTACTTGTTGTTACTTGTTGTTACTTGTTGTTACTTGTTGTTACTTGTTGTTACTTGTTGTTACTTGTTGTTACTTGTTGTTACTTGTTGTTACTTGTTGTTACTTGTTGTTACTTAGTAAGAACAAGTCACGTGATGCCCCACAAAGTATCACGTTACATTCCATTAATAACTACCTCTAGATAACACGGCCTCTTTAATGTTATACAGAAATATTAACTACATTATAATGTATTTATAATGTGTTTAAAAATTGATTATTCGCAATAACTAAAGTCAAGAGCTGGTGATAACCACGCTATATGTGACGTACACCACACACAGACCCTATTTTATCAGCAGTTCTCTCTTGCTGTGTGCTGTCGGTTTGATAAATACTTATCATAATTATCATAATTATCATACTCGTTATTTTAACATATTATTTGATTGATATTCAAAGAACTGTGCATCATTTAGTTTGAAAATTGTAGTGCCCGGGCCGGGTGACTGTAATAATACCATATATGATTTATTAGATGAGCTGTGGATTGATCACGAGTGCGATCACGGACCAATTTTAATGATAAAAAATTATGCCTCGCCTTCTCACCAGAATCCAAATCTATTATACTCACAGACACTAGGGTCCCTTACATTAAAGTTGAAATATATTACTCATGCATATAGGTTGTGTGTGTGTGTACACTGCACTGCTGTGAGCCCATATAAGTAGTGAGTATTTCTCAAATCAGTAGTTTTGCAGTGTTATGTCATCAACTTGAGTTCTCTGTACATTACATTTCTCTCGTTTGTCTTTTACATCGTATTAAATAACTGTTACAGCTAATTAGCTAGTCACTTGCAGATGGAGTTCAACTAGACGAGCATTTTCTCAGACTAGCTGGGTTCTTTACTCATAGTTTAAATTCGACATCTAGTAAAATCTGGTGCTACATGTAACGTGATGGAAATATTTTAAACGGGCATATCCTGTCCAAACCCAGGATGCACTACATGAAGAATTCGTTGTAACTTTGTTTGAAAAGCATTAATATAGCGCTTTATTATAGTGCTATATAGCACTATCTAGCGCTATCTATCTTTATTCTTTCAAATATTTAAAGAACCACGTGCACTTGCTGCTCTGTTTTAAAACACTCTGAAACACACACTCCCAAAGTCTAGATGTGTCCGTGTGTTACTGTGTAAGAATGTAACATGTAATTAGAGCGAGCAGCCAGTTCTATCAAAGTATCAAGTACATGTCACTTTCTATTTCATATGCTGTATTTGCTTTTGTACACTGTGTTTGCTAGCAGTATTACACCGTGTTTTGTGATATCTTCTTTTGTGATATTATCTCGGTTTAGTGTTTATCTGGGTTTTTTAGTTTTGTTAGTTTTATGCCAAGTATTTTTATTGACCAATCATTCTAGTTTACGTTCTGTTTTGTTTCGTATAAAGTCATATTGATTGTGATAGGACAACAGGGCTTGTCATGACCCATTCTCTTTAAACAATTCCTGCGACTTTGAAGTCATGACAAGCTAGAAGAAACAACTGCCCGAAAAACTTGATCCAAATTATTTCCTTAATATTATTTACTGAATTATTCCACAGTATGTGAAATTTCCGACCAGTTTGCATTTCACTGTTTCTCGTTTTAAAATATCTGAACAGTGCTCGGAAGATGTAAAGGCAAACTTGTAATATAAGTCTATAATATCTTATATTACAAGTTTATCGATGTTAAACTAATTACAACACTATATATTATAATGTCTATTACATTTATTGATTTTGTATGTAATCATGTAATGGGATGGAAACGTTTAAACCAGGTAGAGCTGGTCAACACCCTAGCTACAATCTACATGTCATGAAAATCTCTAATAGATGTACTGGCTAATACTAGCATGACAATCTACAAAGAAATATTCACATTATGTTACCATGGTAACAGCAACTACCTGGTGTAGTTCTGATGAAAGTGGCAGTCACTTATTTGTTTTTTTCATTCTTCCATAATTTTAGTGTCACATAAGATAACATTGGCAGAACAACTCAGTTCTATTTAAGCTAATACAGGTTCTTATTAATCAATTAATCAATTAATTAATTATTTCTCTTACCATAGAGAAGAGAGAGACCTGTCTCGTGAATGTACCGTATCCTCTTCTGCTTGAAGATCCATATCGTACACACATTCAGGACAAGTAATAGTATTATAACTATGTAGGTGATACTAGTTACTCTCTTTGCTACCTTGGCGTGCCTGAAAATAGATTTAATTAATTAATTAATCGATTAATTACAACATTTTCAGTTAATAAACACTGTGTTTAAAGTACAAACCTTCTAAATGATAAATAAATGATTTGGTGGGATATCCTATCTGGCTGATTGATATTATAATACTCACGTATCTCCTTCATTTTCTTCAATGTCCTCATAAGGGTTCCCTAACAACATGGGGATAACAACATGCCACTACACCTATAAAAGCATCAAATTAATCATAATATAATCATAATATAATTAATCATAATATAATCAATCAATATCTTAAATCAAGTAAGCAGTAAGCACTATCATCATTCAAATCAAAAGCCCTACAGAGGAACTTTCGATTTTGCATTATACTGTTAATGATCATGACCATAAAAGGAATAATCAGAGCTTCCACTCAGCAGCCCTAAAATGCAGAACCTAATGATACCATTACCCAGTCACTCATTTTCTTTCAACAAATATAGATTGGGGAGACCTAGAATGAACTTGTTATCGGTTTTAAGAAGTGATTTAAGTAGTAGAAATTTGCAAATGGACAACTCTCATGAATTAAATGAAATTAGAGATATAGCTGCATGCAACAGATGTTGGGAAAATCTTTTTCAAGGGTACAGTTTACCGCATTAAGGTATTTTTAAGAATCATTTTTGTCGGTAAGATCCTGTTTATAATAATAATAAATATATATGTAATATTAAAATTGTGCTTTTCCAAGCTAATTCCAAAACACTCGATTCTAGAATAAAATAATGTTCGATCATGCTTCAAGTACGTAAAGCGGTCATACATCCGGATCCCGATGATACTGTCGTAGCACTCTCGTTGTGGCACTCTCGTTGCACTGTCGTGGCACTATGGCGGCACTGTCGCGGCACTCTCGTGGCACTATGGCGGCACAGTGCCAACGTTCAACATGTTCGTTCAAAAGCATAAGACGATCATTACCCAGGTCAATATCATTACATATTTCGCATATAAATATACGACATATTTCGGAGGAAAACCACGACATAACCAAATTATTGTTAAATTTTGTTACAAACTAATTTAATTTCAGAAATAATTGATTACAAAATTCCTTTCTTTTTTTTTTTTGAAAAAATTTTGCGCAATATTTTCATATTTTCATGATATCCGAAATCAAGACATCCGAAATCATGAGATTTGACTCTTTGGAAATTTACGTTATTTAGATTTTGCAGTATTGATTACAGTACCAATTTAGATTTGGTTTATACTTTTAATCCAATTTAACGACTTTCAGTTTTATCTTTTTTAATTTGACATGAAATTCCGAACTTCCTTGACAAAAATGTCGTGATATAAAATTTCTAATCGAAGACAAAATCTGGTTTAGTCATGATGGGCATCTTTAAAGGCAACTCGGTACCTAGTCACGGTCATTTATATTAGCCAATATTTTTCCTGACTGCATAGTGCATATTGCTAAAATCAAATATCGTAATATTTTAGTGTCTAATATGAATAGCTGATGTCCACTTTACCATCATATCCCCGCTCTCAAGTCTCAACTCTGTAACCGTGATTAATTTAAATTGTATGGTCATACGACATGGCACTCTTGTGGCACTGTCGAGGCACTCTGGTGGCACTATGGCGGCACTCTCGTGGAGATTTGAGAGGAGATGTGGAGGATAGTTGATCGATAACTGCAGTAGGTAGCTGGTAGCTGTATCATGCACAACTGAACATTACACTTGGGACTTGTTACTGCTATACAGTGATACATAAGTGTATCCCATAATTGGATAGCATGTGAGACGACACCAGATCAGGATTGTAGATCACAAGGCTCCGACAAGGCTAGTAAATAAAGGGTAATGCTTTAATGACATCGTGGTTATTGTGAAAAGATAATAATTAAGGTATAATGATTGTCTTATGTTTTTGAACGAACATAATTGTTGTGCCATCGGGATACGGATGTATAACCTGTAAAACGTGTTAATTACAATCAGAGAGGAATTTTTAACAGGAAACTAGTCTTGAATTAAAAGTACCAAGCGTGGGTTCTAATCATGTATATTCCTTGTGTACTGTAGAAACAGTAGAATAGTTTAAATTTTTCTTAACCTTTGTTAGTGTTGTATCTCACCTTGTGTATTTCAGAAGCTTCGTCTTTAACACGAAACCAAGTGTGCCAAATTTATTTGAAGACTTAAATTTTAACATCTTACTGCACTGTACTGAATTTATTTTATCGAGTGTGCCAACACTTTATCATTGTTCTTTACTTTATCATTCTTTAATGAGCTTTTTAAAAAATTTAATAATGAAACTATTTGAAGCTAAATGGGTAGTACACGACATGGGTTACTCATATCCAAAGATATTTGCTCAACTGACACTAACGACTGTTTTATGTTGGATTGGAGGTAGTAATATATTACTATTGATTGTTTGCTAACTTTACCAAGATTGATATTTTTCCATCCTATCGACTGCCTGCATTCAAAAGTTTGATCTTACGGATATAATATACAAAATATAAACAATGTATTTAAATTTTAAATTATATAACGAAATAATACGGCGCCTATAACTCACACATCTTCCCAGGTTCCTATTACTATCATGACAGTAGTCAAGAATTCCAAATATATTCTACAAGTGAAAATGAGAACTTCTCGTTGAAACACCTTCTATGTGAGTCGTGAGTATGAAGACAACTAATTTGTAAGATGATGATATTTTAAAATTGTAAACCATGGGTGGTCTCAAGGCTGGACCTAGAAGGTTTTAACAGTTAACATAATTCAGCAAATTACAAGACCTCGCCCCTCCAATTAGAAGAACTAGATAAGCTTTACAATATCACAAGAGTCCCGAACTATAGAGAAAAGCTTTCAGAAATAGGATACCTAGATAACTTTTACTATTATAACCAGAAGGTTTGTTATTTCAATTGTCGAGTTATCAATACTATTAGGAGAATGCAGAAAAAAGTAGCTGCAAGCAAGCAACCATGAAGTTGTAAAGCGGCTAATCGAATTCAAATTAATTTTCGTATTTCTATCTCTACCAAATTGGCAGGTGGTAGACAATACCATCCAGAAGAGAATGGAGACAATTGACAAAGTTTGTCAGACAATAGATACAAGACACTACGGCTCAGTTCACCTTTACCAAATGAAGTGAGGGCAAATCGTTAAATTAAAGCTATTCAGTTTAATCTTTCAGTTGGTTGAAATTATTAAAAATCATAAAATTCATTTTTTCATTTAAATAAACGTCTTTTCTTTCCCTCAAGATCAGGAGGATAAGTGAGATGGATTTTTAATCAGGCAAAATGCTGATGAGTAGAACGTAAGATAAATTTTCCTAAAATATATATATATAAGCAATGAGTTTACCCATTTCAGTGAGTTAGGGGTCACATGGTGTCCAGTTTTTAAAGCTGGAAGCACCACTTGGAAGAACTACTTCTTGAAAAAATTTGTCAACATAAGACTTACAAACGATCTTTCTCTCTTGAAGAATAGAATCCTGGCGTAAGTGTTACTTTAAATACCGTTATGATTATGATAATATAATGATCCAATAGATGTTTTTCTATTGTGTCAATTGACCAACCAATATCATTTGCTTCATAATAAGCCTATTTCTGAACCAAATCAATGGAAATTATTGTTTTTCTTGACTAAATTAAAGATTTTTGCAGAGTAAAATCAGGGTTGGTAGATGGGAAACAAGTGTACAGGGATGAGAGTGTGACTAATATGAGGTTTACAGTTGTGAGGCATCCACTATCGAGGATCGTAAGTCTATTAACTTAAGCATTGTTTTTACTTCTATCAACATATTTCATTAGTGTATATTGTATAGTGAGTATATATGCTATATAATAGGAAGTGATCCGTATGCGGCGAGCACTTGCTAATAATTAGCTGATTGATAGCCAATTAGTTCTATTTAACATTGAAGTGGGATTAATTTTTATCAAAAATAATAATAATACCAATTTGTCATATCTAATTCAAATGATGGAGTAGTTTGCTGTTTATTAGTCTCATGATTGAAATACTGATAGTTAGTTCGTAACTTCCTGTTTCATTTGTCCTTGTCTCTTCCAACCGGATATTATCCAACTATCAGTATATCTAATTCAGATTAGTCATGTTAACAATGCAGCAAAAGATAGTGAAATGGTCGCAATGAAAAACTCTTGGATTTATGAAGCAATTGTTCATAACAGAAAGGGATCATTGATTAATTCGACTATTGAATTGAACACATATAAAAGAGAATTGGATCACTACTTTTTATGGGTAAGAAATCATTTGATTTTCTAAAATTATTAATATTCAAGACAAGAGCTTTGACAAGATTTAACATCTCTGTTAAAATATAACATCCAACGGGACCCAAATTGAAACTCAATTACAGGGGTGTCTCTGGAGTCTATGTATTAATTTTCTGCCTCTATAATCTACATGAATTAAAAAGAAATTTAACCTTTATAACAATTTTCAGCTAACACTAAAAAAAGTCTACAGCAAACCTAAAATATCAGATAAAAATCCTTTTCTTCATCCACCATATCCTCAATTAGATGATCTGATCAATTATATCAGGTATGCAATTTTATCGGGTACCTTTTAAAATTTTACATCTCGAACTTTCTGCAAGACTCTACTTTACTAAGATCAGTGGCATAACGAAGGGCCCCGCTGACCCCGCTGTGCGGGGGAGGGGGGCGCCATCTTAGGGGGGCGCAAAATGGTCGTTTGAATGTGGGACAATTTTGAAAAACTTAACTGAGGTATATACTAGAGCAAAACCCTAGTATCCTCTAAAATCTCCTAATTTGTTCAATTTTAGGGAGGGGCACCAAAAGGGGAGGGGGCGCATTTTCGGCACAGGGGCGCGCCGCCAACAGGCAACATTACGCCACTGACTAAGATCATTAAATAATGGTTTGTTTGTGGCATGGTGATGTCAAATTTAGGTAAGAGAGCACATAATATTATTATATATAAGTGATGTTGGAACTTAGAATAATAATTTTGCTAAGATAATCATTCCATTAACCAAGCTACTCTTCACAGATTAGGTTCATACAATGGGCATTGGGCTCCAGCTTGGAAATGGTGCAATGTCTGCACTAATAAGTTAAACTATATGATAAAGCTTGAAGAAGAACCCTTAGAGCTTTGGTATTTACTTGACAAACTAGGGATGTGGTCAGAAAGAGGACTTTTTCATGATGTTAAAGCCAACAGCTCGCCAAAAGTACAAAACTTAACTAAAGTTTGCCCCACTTTAGACAATGACCAAATTGAATGGCTGAATAGATATTATGAGTATGACCTTAAAATGTTTGACTACGAAGTGTCGTAGTATATAATATGTATAATCATTTAACTATTTTAACCAATTATTTTATCTTTCACAAAGTCAAACCATTAGCTTAGGTCTTTAGTTAGTCGTCAATAATTTGGATTAACTTTAGATTATCATATGAATTACTATTCCGACTCAGCTGAATGATTAACCGGTGAAACACGTAAAATATTTGTTCCGTGATGAATGGTTAAAGGAAAAGGAGCCTTGGTAAAAGATTTGAAATTTTTGTACACTCAATACTGCAAATCAAAATATTATACCAAGTAAAGTCCAAAATAAACTGTGATAAACTGTTGGTGAAACAACTGGTTATATATCTAAATTAGATTACTGTAATTCTCCGTACATGAATCTACCTAAGACCAAACTAAGCAAACTTAGATCCACCCTTAATGGGGCAGTTCGTTTCATCTATAACATAGAAGACAGAACCCACAAATCAGTTCACGGTACTGCACCTGATTACCTCAAAGCACTACTGGATTTGGATGTAGCGGATATAGAACTCTCAAACACCATGACCAGGTCGAAGAGACCTGGTGACCATCTCATGCTCAAGGTACCAAAGAATAAAAGGTCCAAAGTTGATGACAGACGTTTCTCAAGCCATGCACCGATTGCATGGAACTCTCTTCCACTGATGTTGAGATGTATTACTGATAGCAACTGCTTCAAGCGAATGTTAAAGAACCATCTATATAATAAGTTTTGATGTTTTTTCTTTCCATTTGTCTTCACTTTGCAAGACACCTTGGCTTTTATTTCTTGCCGCACTCCATTTTATGTCTAAGATCTCTACCTTTCTGTGTCGCTGTACTAACCTTTATTATACCTACATGTATTGTATGGTCTCTGCTTCTTTTTAGTTTAGTGTGGTTTAAAATAAAAGATGTTTTAATTTTGTCTTAGCCTTATATTGAGTTATACTCTTCATTTTTACACATTTGCTCACATCACTCACAGGCAGCCGCTCTGACATGGTTAACCACCTTCCTTGTGTTGTTGGTTAATCATATGAGCGGGATATAAATACCTCATTTCATTTCATCAAGGCTAGGATATAAATTATTTTCAAATTTAAAATATTTATTAGCAATTATTTCAAAATTAAATATTCAGTTAAACAAAAATTTCAGTTAAACAAAAATTTCAATTTTATACCATTTATTACAGAGTGAACAAGTTTACAATAAATCAATTTGATAATTTAAAGGAATCCTAATTCAATGTGTATTATGATTGTCACTCTTTGAATAGATTAGATATAGGTTGACGGGAAAAGGAGTGTACGTGCTGTTCGCTATTGCTCACACCAAACGGCAACCTAGTAAAAGTTTTGTATGGACACCGGTCTCCATCACGATACAAAATTAGGATTGTAGAATTTAATGTATAACTAACTGCAGTGGAAGAAGCGGTGTGTTGCATTAATAGCCTACTAACTGATATAGATTTGTTTTCAAGTGGGTATATTTTGGACCTAAAGGCTTCAGTATTGCAACTTTAAAATTAGTTCCCAGGAAACCTTACCGGGTAGGCTATATCTCCGGAAGTAAAAGAGATAGCGACCTCCGGTTTTTTGCATAATGATCGTCTCATTAAAATCTTGTTGGCTCCCCAGGAGCAAAATTGGAACTCTCAAACTTAAAAAGTTATTACCAAAAAACTGTTTTTGGGGCTGCACGGAGCATGCCACAAAAATAACTTTGCAGAAATAATACGTTGCTATGCGCGTGACGTCACATTCACAATGCAATGACCATATTTGGTGAGATACGCGCAACGACATCATGCCTTGTGTAAGATTTTAAGTCTGTCATTCGTCCGTTATCGTTGCATGCAGTTGTTTTAAACTTTATGCTTTTAATCATATGTCCATCACCTGATCAAATCCAATTGTTTATAACTAATATGTATAGCTGAAAGCACCGTGTAAGGCCTACACGGACCGCCTCTAACTGGCCAGTCCCTGTTTATATGCCGTGTAGCAGGGGACTAGATAGAGCTAAACTAGTAAGCGGGGCATAGCCAATACACTGTACTCCCATCTTTGAAGATATTACCAACCAAAAGGAAAATTTCCTTGTGTTTGAAATCTACCAAGACGAAAGTTGTGCAGTTCAGCGAAATTCCGAAGAATCATTCCAGGAGACTGGTCGCATTCATTAAATATCAGTTTAAAAATAAATAAATCTGGAATCTGTTCACACTGTGATAGCAAAATTACAAAACATTATTACATATTAGTCACGATAGATTAAAATGGGGTTCATGGTTTTACATCACCAAACGCGCCGGTAAACGTTAAATATAATTGCAATAGTAGTGGAATATCGAGCCGCGGCAGAAATGCGCGGCTCCATCGAAATGCGCGGGCATTTTTGCAATTTATTATGTCGCCGCGCACAGGAGGAGCAACGTGCAAAGAAACTGCCACAAACTGCTACAAACTGCTACAAACTGCTATTATAACTGCTACAAACTGGCACTAACTGCCACAAACTGCTACTAACTGCTGCAATCACGCCCACAAATTCGCGCGCCGTTTGCAGCAGTTAGTAACAGTTTGTGTGTTGTGCCAGTTTGTAGCAGTTTGCAGCAGTTTGTAGCAGTTGCGCGCGGCGTGCGTTGCGCAGTAAAGATTCACCTAACCATGTGCTTTCGCGCCACTGCGGGCGCGCTTGTTTCACAAGTCAAGAAAAGCACCTATCCACGAACCCCGATGGAAAGGTTCGTGCGCGCGCGTGCAGTGCTGACAACAGCGTCTATGTAGCGAAGGAAGTCTTGGCACTTCTCCCTCCAGTATGCAGTAACCACTTTTCAGGTTTCTATAATGCACAGTGACCGTGTATAGGGGTTAATTAGGTATAAACTACAGTACAGCTGTACTTACACCTACATTCACAAGCATGCAAGCTCACCTGGTCCAATGAGCGGGAAACGGAGGACAAGGTCTGGTGACGTCATAGTCACGTGACCTCATAGGCTCATAATTAGGTGACCTCAGACCCAATCAATGATCAATTAGGTTTGGGCATAGTCAGCCCCCTGTCATCCGATCTTTAGGTGACGTACGACACCTCGTTTACACAATCAATGTCTAAAAGACTACACACGTTGCATATGAGGACAAAAGCGCGGGAAATTTTGACACCACTGTACAGTGGTGCCAAAATCGTTGGGTGGGTTCATGGCTAGAGCCCTTTTTACCGCCGTGAGGCGGGCGCGCGCTACAGCAAGCGCAAGGGCTCTGGATAGAGCAACAGTAAAGACGTATTACATCTTTTTAAATATATTTTAAAATAGTTCTTCTGTTCAAATTTCTCATTGTTTCTGAATAGACTCAGTGAAGACAAATTCTAATGGAAATAAATAGCTGAATAACGCATCGACATTTCTACGTCATACTCATATTCTCAAATTATTTGTTATATTAGTGTTATATAGTAATGTTGAAAGTATTAAATACTTTCAACATTGCTATATAACAAATAATTTTAGGAAAATCAAGTGTTAGCATCATATCGTTTCAAATATAATATAGATAGTTCTTTCATTCAAATTTCTGATTGTTTGAACTGAATAGACTCAGTGAAGACAGATTCTAATGGAAATAAATTGAATCTGTCTTCACTGAGTCTATTCAGAAACAATCAGAAATTTGAACAAAATAACTATAAAAATGAGACTCAATAACACTACACGAATCAACCAGATTATTTTAAAATAGAATTATTCAATAATACAGAGGTACCATAACTCTTCCACCCACGGCAATACTTGATTTGGACCTTAACCTGATCAACACTCCTAAACCCTAAAAGGTCATGGAGTGCTTGTTGGATGGGGGTCTAAACTGCTTTTTGTTGTGATGTGAATTTGTTATATATCATTGCAAAGGGTTTTTATTTTTACCTAAGTTTTTTAAATTTGTACCATTTAAAAAAATTTTTTATATAGGGTCATTGCTATATTATGTGTATATTGTTTGAATAATTTTCCGATTATTCAATAATAACTTTTTTTACTGTCAGTCTTAGCAAAGTATATCACCCGTTAAAAACGAAACACCAGTTTAATTGTCCTTTTATCTGAACCATATGGTTTTAAGTGTAAGCTGTATACAATACGTCAAAAAATCATATCAACGAATCGTATCAAAGGGATCAAAGTCCATCATCAGTTAGTAACAGAGTAGAGATCAGAGCAGAACGAAGGAACATAATTGCTTGCGGGAATCTTTTCTGAAATATTGTCGACAGGTTAAAATCAATTGCATTTCTGTTACTTGGGTGTGGGATATAAAGCATTATATGGTTGTTAAAAGCCTACATATTACTCTTCACTTAATATGGCTAATGTTTAGCATTATTTATAATCCATATTAAGCTACAGACGTTTTTTGTGACAATACAAGAAATAATGGTTGAGCTCCTACTTGTGAGCCACTTAGGAAATACAGTATATCTGATTTATTGTACCTAGCTTCAGTTCTTCTGATTTTTCGTTTGCTGTCTGTACTCTGCGACAGCAATTTGTTGCCCAGACTTCCTATCCTCCCCTACCACCTCCTTACCACAGGTTGACATAAGCGCCACTTGCCTCTGACTCGTCTCCAATAGCCTGGTATGAGCTTCTAGTAGTTCGGTTAGAGTGAATAAACATGTTAGGATGTCCAATTTGGGTGTCACACATGTTATTTAATGACCAAAATCCATAAAATGGCCAAAAATTTCAATTGACTCAAACTTTTTTCCAATTAAGCGTATAGCGAGCATATTTAACAATTTTTAAGCAATAATGTATTGCGAGCAGCTGTAACTTAAATATCGCATAAAAATCATATAATTATAACACAAAACTAAAATTTTATTGGAATCTAAGTTAAACTATAAGATAAAATTAATATCAGCCCCTTCGCCACTCTCAGCAGTCAACCAGGGCTCATAAAAGCTTAACAGCGCCTGGGTCCGTTCACCAACTGTGCTAATGTGAGTGGCGGTGTGGTAAAACCCATTTTAACAGCGTGAATATTTATCAAATATAAGCGCGCTAGCTGCTAGCATACTTGTATCATTTAATTTTTAGTCAAATTTATTCGGATATATATTTATTGATTATGTATTGAATTGGTGATAAATAATAAAATTGTCTTTTCTCTTGTCTTTTCTCAATTTTTTCCTCTACTGCATAAAAATGTATGCCATTTTATGACATTGGCTCCACCCAGTTTTCCTTTCTTGCAGTACTAGTATGTTATTCTGAATAACCCCAAAACTATTTTCTGACAAAGTGCAACAACTATTGGGATAATGACATATAGGTAGAAAGTAAAATCCAATTAATGTCTCTGGGTAATACATTGTGTTTTCTGCCCCTGAACCAATTTGAGAACATGGTATAGATAAAAATGTTTGTTGTTCAGGTTGTTCAACCCTGTATTCTTAACACAGAAGAGATGTATTATAATAATTTTTGGAGATGCAAACTCATACCAAAACAAATTCAAAACATGTGCTCGTTCTCAGTTAAACAAAAATTCAGTTAAACAAAAATTCAATTTTATGCCATTTATTACAGAGTAAACAAGTTTACAATAAATCAATTTGATATGACCTATTCAATGTAAAATACTGAGTAAACATGAGTCTAATGCTGATAACTCTGTTAATCCACGTGTTAAACCATGTGGAAAGTGTGTCCGCTCTAAATCGGTAGTTCATAATAAACTTGTTAGACCCTTATGTTGTCAAAAACTAGGAGCTGAATTCTATTCCAAGGAATCAACCAAACCATTATTTAACAGTCATAAACTCCTTACTGTTCATAATCTTTACAGACTCCGTACTATAACTGAACTTTTTTAAATAGTGAAATATAGGGTACCCATATCTCTCTACTCTTTACTTAACATGTCTGAACTGAGGGATGACCGTCTAATACCACCAAAGCCAAGCCATAACTTTATTTATAAATCTTCTTGGCTTTGGAATCAATTCAAGGACTCCAATCCACAGAATAAACCTGACTTTGTGAACACATCCTGCAACTCAATCAAATCAAGGCTAAACCGATCTCTTCTAGATGCCCAAAGCAGGTTCGATAATGAGTGGCATAATGACAACTTTAATAGTTTGGGCCATGCTAGATTATTGATAAAAACGTGGAATTTAAGTAAACAAATACTTAATTACTTAAAATATTGCCGTTTCAGTACGGCGCTACACGTAATATCTATTATAAGCGCGCCGCAGCTACTCACTACTTCAACATTTGCGCGGGTTTCTTAAGCGCGCACGTACGTTTATTCTTGGCCGTTAATCAGACCCAAGACGCGACATAACGCTATTATAGGTGGCAGTGACTGTAATTTTCTACAACAATTACTGAATCATCCATCCATAAATTGATTTACAAAATGACACCTAAACCTCGTGTTTCGGTGTTCAATTAAACGGTACTTGGCAGCTGAACTGTGGTGTCTGACGTGTGCAGCTAGATCGGACTCTGATATTATGTATTAGCAAATTTGTATAGTGTATAATTTTTTAGTGTTTATCATACTCTGCAACCTGGTAGCGCGGCTGACACAAAAACAAAATGTTGGCCTGGCTTGTGCATAACCAAGTAATAAATGTTTCTAGTATTAAAAGATTCAATAAGTTATCTTTTCATGTACGCTGTACACTGTAGTTACAAGTTAGTAAATGCAAACCAAACTTTTTCGATCAGCCGCGCGCCGAACCAGTGTTGCACTAGGTAAAAATTGTGTATATTTTGTGTATATTTTGTTCATTTTTGAGTGTAAATTAATTTATTAATTTATCAAAAATTATTTTATTATAATAAAACCTCTTATGTGAAATGGTTATTTTGACTTTAAATATTTGAACTAAATATGAATTGATTGTGGGTATAAAATAAAATGTGTTTTACTAAAAAAATGTGTTTTACTTTGTACTAACTGAACATCAAGTAATGCTAAAGCTACTGAAGTACTTATGCTATGTTAATACGAAATACAAAACAAACCACAAGCATCAATGTGCTGTGTAGCATGTACTTGTACTTTATTTTATCTTTTCATTTAGAGTTTAACCATTTCCTTCATACATTGGAGCAAGGATTATACGTGGTTAAAGCACGTCTTCCATCACATTAGCATTACTTAATAATACTCAATAAATGTAATAGACGCGTATAGTTAGTAGTAATAGACGCATATAGTTAGTAGTAATAGACGCATATAGTTAGTAGTAATAGATGCGTAGTGTTGTAGTTAGTTTAAAATATTCTTCGCTCACCTGCTTGTTATAAATTGTGAAATATCATTGCAAACTTCAGCTTTAGATATTAAATATAAATTATCATTCATGACACACTTCATCAAAAGATTATATAACAAAGTAGCCAATCACACTTTAAACACATCCCCTTTTTTCGTGCTGAACATCAAAAAGCTGAGGTATATATTACAAGATTACACTGATTTCAACTCTCATATTTTACATTCTTAATTGTTATTCCTATTGTCTGTTTTGTATTTTGTATTATATATAAATCCGCATAGATAACAAATTTGCATAGGAAGATTTAAGCACTATGTTTTGCTATGTAAATAAAAGTGAGCCAACAAATTTAATACACAAAATTACACTACAGCTAACACTAGTTGTTTCATCTAAATTATAAGTGATGCGAACGTTAAATTCCTATAACTTGATTGCTGATACTGAAAAGGATAATAATCATAATATTATCACCACATTTTATAGTTTTTTGATTATCATAAAAATATGTATCATCACATCCACTAGTTAGTTAAATATTCAGCATATTATGATCACTTCAATAGTTTGTTAATTAATTACTCATTAAGGATGTCAACGGTCAAAGCACCGATTGTTAAGGAAGCTGACGTCTCAGCTGACAAGTCCATCTGGCAAGATGGAGAAGAGAGTCTTGATGAAGAGGTAATTAATTAAGTAATTAATTAATGAAGAGGTAATTAATGAGTTAATTTAGTAATTAGCCATGATTAAATGGCTAATTTACCTTGATGAAGAGGTAATTAAGTAATTAAGAGGTAATTAATAAGTTAATTTAGTAATTAGAAGAGGTAATTAATAAGTTAATTAGTAGGTAATTAGTAGGTAATTATAGGTAATTAGCTTGATGAAGAGGTAATTAATAAGTTAATTTAGTAGCCATGATTAAATGGTTTGGGTGACAAATTATAGATCCAATTGTCAAGTGAATTACTTTTTGTCTAGCAGTTTAAAAGTTATCTGATCATCTAATGTTGTAAATGCAGGTGTTGCGGATGAGTGTAGATGAGCTGACTAGTAGAACTCGTCTACTAGAAAGTGATATCAAGATCATGAAGAGTGAAGTCATGAGGATAGGTGGGTAGTTCATTAAATATTAAAATGTGCAAAGTTCATACAATCATACTTACACATATCAACACTTCACACTTGTTAATATACTTAATGTGATCAAATCTGAATTTCTCAAGAGGATGTCAGTGACGAAGCTGGTAATATCGTATAGATTGTTTTAAAAATCATGAAACTATATAAATTTGCTTAATTCCTTATTGGTGATTTGCATAAATTTACCCATTAAATCATTAACTCCTGTAGGCCACGAACAGCAAGCTATGAAGGAGAAAATCAAGGAAAACGCTGAGAAGATTAAAGTTAACAAAACTCTCCCTTATCTTGTCTCTAATGTCATTGAGATTCTTGATGTGGATCCACAGGTTTTTACTTACAAATTCTTTTTAAAAACAACATCAAGTTGAAATCTAACTTTGAAATGTAGGGAAATGTAGGGAAAAATAATGGGGACTGGCAATTATTTAAGTTGTGGAGGATGCGAAAACTTTTGATACACGGTTCCGTGCATCTTTTTAGTATGCTGTCAAGACTTACTTCTTAACTAGATTGTTGAGGAGTTGGAATATAAAAATGTTATGAACGATTCGAGAAAGCTAACAACATTGAACCTAATTTAATCAGTGAACCACTGATATACTGAAATACTTACTCTGCTGCCAAAAACATTCCAAATATTCCCCAAGTATCGGATTACTTATTTATGAGCATTGAGAATATAATATGTACAATGTATAATATTAATATATTATTTTTTGTACACCTTGTCACTTTGGTAAATTAATTATGCAACTTTCAGGCTGAAGAGGATGGAGCAAATGTAGATCTGGACTCACAGAGGAAAGGAAAATGTGCTGTTATAAAAACTTCCACCAGACAAACTTACTTCCTCCCTGTTATTGGTACATATATTGTCTCTTTTATTATTTGTCAGCTCTTCTTTGATGCTACCATGTTTCTCAAAGCGAATTAATATTAAGCATTATCATGCTGCTTTCAAGTCGTTACATTTCCTAGCAATCAAGCGAGTTGAGTAATTTAATTAATTAATTAATTAATTAATTAATTGTATAACTTTATTTCAGGTTTGGTGGACGCTGAGAAGCTAGAACCTGGAGACCTTGTTGGAGTTAACAAAGACTCTTATCTAATCTTGGATACTCTGCCCCCAGGTGGGAATATTGCTGATCAGCATGATTTGTAGCAACCAAAAACTTCTGCTACCGTAAATTCCTCAATCATTTCTGATAGGGTAAAGCACATAATTTTGTCATTTTTTGGCAATTTTCCGACTGCCTGATATAAACCATGGGTTTTAACCTCGTCTGAAATTCCGATTTAGATGAAACCTCCACCATGTTATAGTAGACAGTCTAGGCAAGTTCTAACACAAAAATGATCGAAATTGCTGGGGTTGAAGATGTTCAAAAAAATTATTTTGAAAAAATGACAAAATTAGGTGACTTTACTTAATTTTGTCACCCCGAACCTAATTTTGTCACTTTTTTTTTTTTTTTTTATGTTGGGGCACCCACTTTACCTCCCTATTGGGAGGCTACGTCCGTCATTAGTGACTAACGTCTATTGGGGTTCCTCTGGTTGTAGGTGTCAGTAGGTTTGGGTCACTTGGCATGGGCTAGTGATCCCGCCCCTCCAGAGGATAAAGCCTGGTGAGCGACGTTTCCCGTGAGGGAAACTGTCATAATGCTCGTTCACGGGAGAACACCACCCATGCCTGGATGTTCTCCCGGGTACTCGATAGAACAGGCTGCCCCCTGTCATTCTAGTGGGCTGACAGGAACCTACCAGGCATGCCTGAGCCTATGATGTAATTCTCCCATTTCCTTTGTTATTCTTTTGTGCGCGTCTTTCGACGCGCGCTTTATTATTTGTGACAATTTTTTGCTTTTTATTGCGCTGGGTGTATTTTTGCTAGTTATAGGGCGCTAATTTCAAATTTTCAGACCTGCGCCATCCGTGATCTAGTCTTCTATATAGTAGCAGACGAATTCATCTTCCATCCGGCCTGTTCTTCTTATGTAGCTTATTATTTCGGTAGCTTTGAAGTTTTCTATAATGTTGAGAAGATTTGTGTGCGTTATATTGAAACTGTTTTGTCTTGCCTCTGTGTATGCTGGACACTTTGCCAGATAGTGTTCCGTTGTTTCTCTTTCCCTGGGACAGTGTCTACAGTATGGAACAACTAGCCTGTCTATTTTGTGTATGTTCGCCGCTAGTTTGTTCTGTCCTGAAATTATTTGTGTTAAATATCTAATTTGATCTCTGTTTTTTGTGGGAAGACGTAGTTTTTGTTTCATAAAATATTTTTTGATGATTTCTTTATTTTCCTTTTTTATATTTGATGTGTTGATTTTGTTAATTGTGTTTTTCATGGCTTTTTCCATTATTTTATTGGTAATATGTTGTTCTGGAAAGTATGTGAAAGGCTCAGGTCCGTATTTTATAGTCATTGCACCTCTTTTTGCTAGTTTATCTGCTATTTCATTTCCTGTAATGCCTATGTGTGCTTTCACCTTGTATATGGATACTGTTATGTTATTCCCGGTCAATTTATTCAAGTTCATATTTGTTTCTCTCGTTAGTTTTGAGGATGATTTTGTTGCTTTTAGTTTGTGTATTGTAGTAATCGAATCTGTGTGGAAGTTTATTTTGTATATGTTATTTAGCAGATTTTCAGCTTCTTCAGCTCCTTCTCTGATTGCAATCATCTCACATTGATTAATTGTTGCTATTGTTCCTAGTGATATTGCTTTTTCTTTGATTTTTATTCCATTTTTGTATATTGCATACCCGCAGCCAGATCTGTTTTGTTGATTTGTTTTGATTACAGAGCCGTCTGTATATATGTTCAGTGTATTAGTGTTGACTTCACTGTACTCATTGTCCACATGTGTGTTATAGTTTATGTTCATTTTTGTACTTATTGTGTTGTCGCTCAGATTCATTTCTGGTGTTTTAACCAATTCTTCAATCTTTTTAGTTATGTTATTTGAATGTGTTTCAAATTGTCTGTTGGGATTAGGTCTAATATGATTCCAGTTTTTATTTGTTTTCAGTCTTAATGCTGTTTTCAGAGCTGTGCTTTCCAGTCTAATTTCAATTGGCATGATGCCAGCCATGCAGTCAAGTGTTGTTGTTGGCGTTGTGACGAACCCCCCAGTAATTTGTAGTGTAGCCATTTTTTGAACTTTTTCCAGCATTCTCAGTAAGTATTTGTTTTTGTTAGTTTTATGTACCCATAGAAAGCATGCGTATGATAGAGTTGGTAGTATGACTTGATTGTATATCCATTTAACTTTGTCTGGGGTCAGTCCCCACTTCTTCCCGACATATTTTTTGCATGTCATCAGTAATTTAGTGGCAATTTGGCACTTCTTGTTTATATGAGGGGCCCATCTTAGGTGATTGTCTAGGATGACTCCTAGGTATTTCGCTTTGTCTGATAATTCCATCTTTGTATTGTTTAATTCGATAGGAATGTATTTATATTTCTTCCTAGGATTGGTGAATAGGACTGTTTTAGTTTTCAAGGCACTTATTTTTACTCCGTTTTTTATGCACCACTTGTCAATTGTTTTAAGATAAGCTTTCGCAATACCTCTTATTGTGTAAAGGTCTATCCCTTGTATCAAGATAGCTAGGTCGTCAGCAAAAGCTTGTATAAACGTTTCATCAAGCTCTTCTTTTGCTAATAGTGTATTTAGTGTGAGATTCCATAGTAGGGGTGAGAGGATTCCTCCTTGAGGGCATCCTCTATACACTTTTCTTTTTAGTGTGAAACCGTGTAGTTCTAATTCTATTTCCCTCTCTGTTAACATGATATAGATCCAGTTTATGATCTTGTCTGGGATTTTTATTTTTTCCATAGCTTCTCTAATTGAACTGAATTTGATTGCATCGAATGCCCCTTCTACGTCCAAAAATATTCCCAGTGCATATTGTCCATTTGATATAGCTTCTTCTATTCTATTTGTCAATCTGTGCAACGCAGCTTGTGTACTTTTTCTCTTCCTGAATCCATATTGGTTCTTTGTTAGTTTTTTGTCAATACCCACCTTGTCTTCTAGGTATATTAAAATCATTTTTTCCATTAGTTTCTGAATGTTCGATGTTAAACTTATGATTCTGAATGCTTTGGGGTTGGAATAATCATCCTTTTCTGGTTTTGCCAGGATTACCCCCTTATTTATTTTCCATTGAGTCGGTGAGATTGAGTGTTTTAAACAGCGTTTGAATATATGTATGAGTGGTAATTCTAATATGTCACTGCACGCTTTTAACATTTCATTCATAACTTTGTCTGGTCCTGGAGCTTTCTTTGATTTAAGTGTTTTAATCGCTCTTCTGTATGAATCATTTGATATGACGTCATCTTCTATTTGGTCTTGTGACTCTGTGATCGTCACCTGTCTGTGTTGGTCATTTTCAGGGTAGTGTGTATCAGCTAAGAATGTCAGGGTTTCTTCTGTAGTTTTAGTGAATTCCCCGTTCGGTAGTTTAAGGCAGTTTAGTCTTTCCCACTCGTTATTCCTCTGTTTTGGGAATTTAGCTAGTTTACTTTTTGATTTGGTTTCTGAACAGTGATCTTTCCAACCTTGTCTTCCTATTTTTTGTAGTTCTCTTCTGTAATCGCTCTCTTTAGCTATGAGAACGTTTCTTTTTTCTTCAGTTGAAGCTTTAATAGTTTTACTTTTTTGTTTCAGAGCTTTCTTTTTGGTTTTATCAACTTCTTTATTCCAAGGTATTTTCGATTTATGTATTATTTTTTTGAGTGGGCACATTTCATTGAATACCTTCATTAGTATATTGTTGATAAATTTTGTGTCTTTATCCTCTCTTTCCTGTGGTGATCCGCTTACTTTATATCTGAATGGTTGTTTATCTAATGCTTTCTTTACTTCTTCCTTATATTCATCCCATTTTATATTGTCCGTGCATCTCTTATATGAAGTAGAGTGATTTCCAATATCTAGTTTGATCGATATCATTTTGTGGTCTGATAGTGATGGTTTCTGATCCACTTCCCAGCTTTTTATGAGTTTATTTGCACTTTTGTTAGTGACTGTAATGTCTATTACACTCCTGAATCCTCTAGTGTTGGTAAAGGTTGGAATGTTTCCTTTATTTTCTACATTGAGATTATATTTGTTTATTAGTTCACATATTATCCTTCCTCTAGGAGTTGTTTTGTAGCTGTTCCATAGTATATGGTGACCGTTTGAGTCAGCTCCCATTATCATTGGAATGTTTTTAGAATTTGTATATTCTACTAGTCTCGAGAATTTATCTATTGCATCAGGTTCGATGTCTTGTATATTATTGTCCATGGCCATGTAGAACGAGCACCACATTATGCCCTTCTTTGTGTGTGTATTTGATTTTACCGCTATGATATCTCTATTCGTAAATGTTGTGAGTACGAATGATTTTCTTGCTAAGTCAATAGGTAAAATTATTGCGGTTCTTATTTTTTGTTCTCTATAGTGTGGGCTAAATGCTTTGTGTGTTTTAGGAACGTAACAGATTTTATTTTTAATGGCGTACGGTTCTTGTACAAGCATTATTTCATGTGATTTTAATTCATTAATATATGTTTGACAGGCTATCTTTTTCTTTTGTAGATTAATTTGTTTAACTGATGTGTAGAAACATTCCTTGCCTTTATTTAGGTTTTTTCTGATCGTTGAGCCCTGTTTTCCAGGTGGGATCTGCTGTTTCAACTTTTTTTGACCGGCAAATAAGCATCCTCTTTTCGTCATGACGCTGTTTTATGATGTGTTTTGTTCTGGATTTTTCCCCAGATGGATAGTTAACTGATTTCTGGATGCCCACCAGATGGTAATATGTCTGTTTACTGGATACCCTCCAGTTGGTAACGGTCAGTGTACTGACGGTATCAATAACTCTGTTCGTTGTTGAGTTGTTTAATTAGTGAAAACTAGTCGTGAGAGTACTGCGAAACGATGAAAGCTTAATCGAAAAGTAAATTTCTGTCTGTCGTTGTCATGGTAACTAGGATAGCTTGCGGAGTAGATTTTAGGAAAGTTTTAGGAAAGTTTTGTAGTCGCGCGCGGCATAGTTCAGAATAGCATGCGCGCTTATCTTGTTTTTAATATTTGTTCATGAAGTTCTAAAATCTTGTTTGATGCTTTGGCTTTTTAATGTTATGTTAATTTAAAAATCTTTTCATTTGTTTTGTGCTTTTCTTTATTTTCTTGTTATGAGTATGTCATTTTATATTTGGTTCGTTGCTCAGGGGTCGTCACGTTGCTTTACTCTGTTGATATCTTTTAATTTTTCTTTCTGTACATTTCTTAGCGTGATATTTATTTGTCCAGAAATGTAGCCTATGTTGATCTAATATTGCTGTGCAGTTTAAGAGTGCTCTTAGATAGATGTCCGTCTATTTGATGGAGGCTAGGGTCTGGTCCTGGGTCTGACGCGTGGGTTCCTCGCCTGAGGCATGTTAGAAATTATCTGCAGTATGGCAGTGATTCATGAGACCAGGAAGGATTGCTTTTGCAGCCGTCCCCTTTGACTGTTCCCTTGCTCATAGCTTAGCTGTGGGATAGTCTGTTGGTCTTCCCTCTCGCGCTCGCGTGTTTTTTACTTTGTCACTTTTGAGTTTTGCTTTTTATTTTCATTCTTCATCATTCATTCAATTTCATTATTTATTATTATATTTATTAGATTCATATTTGGAGTACTATTGAAACTACCTTTATGTAATGAATTCAATTAAATAGAATAGAATATCATATTTATCATCCTCCTGTGGCTTCTGTGTGGGTTATCTTCTGTGTCTCTAAATCTTCTTCCATATTATCTTTCTCGGTCCGGTAAGGTTGGGGTGAGAAGGCATTAGACCCTTTCCTTCTCTCTCTTCTGATGATGTTGAATCCTATTTTTGAACACATTAGGTTCAGGGCTGTTGGTCGTTGTTTGATTACCTTTTCCATTTCTTCAGCCTCTATGCTGGTTAGAGAGAAGTGAAGTAACCAGCTATTGTTCTTGAGTTGTACCGGTGGTCTCTCTATATGTATATTCTCCTTCCTCACATATTTTCCCAGCGAGAGAGACATCAACTTCAGCACCCCATCTCTATCGTCAGTGAACGATTTGGGGATGTTTCTGTTTAGTGACAGAAAGCAGCGAGTTCTGTCTCCCACGAAGGTGGGGCAGAAGGCCTGAAGACTTTTCCCTGCTTTATTTACCGTTTCTATCAAGTTTTCCGCAGATGATTCTGTAGGAGTTTTTACCTTTAGTGCTCGATCCGGTAGTGAGTTGAAGACATCAATGATCTCGATCTCGTTATCTACTCCTATTATTTCCGTCAGTGAAGCTCGGTATCTGTCGAAATCTTTCTTTTGTAGTATGCACAGTGCTTCCGGATAGATGAACACCGTGTGGGTATCTTCTTTGTTGCTAGATACGAGAGTACTACGTCTCTCGTGACGTTGTGCCGGCGTTAGGGGTTCACCAGTTCTTCTTTTCTTCCCCGAGGTTCTCTCTGGTGATCTGTTTCGTTTCGCCATTTTCACTGTGGATGGGTAAGTTAGTTTTATTTGTGAATACGTTTGATTTTTGTGTATATTATGTATAATAAATAACGAATTCTAGATTCTAAATAATTCCCAAAGTGGGAAATCGAGAAAAGATTTTTCAGCAAAAACTAACTCCGGTCGAGCTGCTAGAACTGTGTTTACTAGGTAATGAGACAACTGCAGTTTGCTAACCTGGAGAACAAAGAGCTCCTGTTCTGCTGGCCCTTTTTCCTGGTATGTCACGTGTTGCGTTTTTGTCGTTACGTAGCGTACTGGGGGATATTTGCGTTAGTTCTTTGTCCTTGCGCGGCTCACTTTCGCGCTTGATACTGACTCACGTATTTACATACGACATTTATATTTTGAGTAGACCCTTTTTGTTGTCGCAATTTGGCAATTTCTTTGTTAGCTTGAGATTATTGCTAGTTTACGTTTGCTTGAAGTATTCTAAGTGCTATATCTCCAATAGCTGGCATTTGTCTGATTTGATAGATCCCCTCTATCTGGTAGCGGCCCTAGGGCGGCATGTGAGTGCATGAGTAGAAGAAAGAGAGACACTGTCCGTTATCTGGGTGAGCCACCACCGACACTGCTCCCACTTCTGTGGGGCTGAGGGTGTTGGCTCCAAGAACCAGCCGTGAGCGAACAGCGCCTGACCCCCTCTATGGTTCACTTGAGAGTAACAGGAATATGCCACTCTCCAGGCCAATCCGTTCAGTAACCATCTGACCCAGCACCACTTCTGATGGAAGATGTGGTTCGGATTGGACTTCGCTAGGGTTTGTCAGTTTTTCTGTAGACACTAATGCTCCCTCGAGGAGAGACATGAGCCCCGGCGAAACTGACCAAAAACGTGACAGGGATTCTCACCCTACAATTTTGTCACCCTACAATTTTGTCACTTGAAGATTGTGCAAAAAGTAATCGTTTCTCGGTATTTTAGACTACCTGGATGCATCATTCGAGCGCTTTTTTACCAACATTGACCTCAAAAATCCCAAAGATATGATGTTTTCATAGTTTTGTAGCTTGATGAAAAGATGACACTTTTTGGGTATCTAATCTTAGAAAATAGCCCCAAATGCCCCTGAAACCACTGGCATCTTGAAAATCGATTGGTTCTAGGCCTAGGTTGAAATTTTCATGTCTGTAGATAGATCACTTGCTTAGTAATTTCATCAAATATTTTTTTAGTCATTTTAGATTGAAAAAATCAGATTATCCACCTAATATTTCTCGGCGAAAATATGCTATTATAAGTGTTATGCTATTATTTAAGTGCCTTATACATATCCTATGGGCAAAAAAACTTCAGAATAGTTGTATAAGGCCATTTTCAACACAATCTGTGATTTACAAGAAATTTGAGAAAGGTCGATTTTTTTGACAAAATTAGGTACTTTTGGCAAAATCGAACCTAATTTTGTCACCCTCTGTAACTTGAACAATAATTGCGCTAGAGACTTGAAAATTTGTACGTATACTTCTGCTGTAGAAGATATTTGAAATATGCAATGGCATGAAGCTAGCTCAATTACTTTTGAAATAGCAATAAATCAAAATTTTGAAAATTCCTTAAGAAAACCTTAAAGATCTTATTTATTTTTCGGGTTAACAGTTTCGCCTTCATTTTTGACACAGATGCAAAAGAGCTAGAAACTTAAACTTTGTACGAGCAGTTTCAGCAAAGTCTAAGCTTTCTTTTTATACACAATCCTTTTCTTTCAAGCTGAAATTCCGAGCCGAGGCAGTTTTTCAGAGCAAAATGACAAAATTAGGTACCCTGACAAAATTATGTGCCTTACCCTACCTCTTATTGATAAGTTTTAAATACTAATTGACTAATTATGCAGAGTATGATTCCCGTGTAAAAGCGATGGAAGTAGACGAGAGGCCCACGGAACAGTACTCAGATATTGGAGGTCTAGATAAACAGATCCAGGAGCTGATTGAGGCTGTGGTACTGCCCATGACTCATAAGGAGAGGTTAATGAGTTAATTGCATTTGTAATTAGTTAATTAACTTAACAAGATGTGCTAATTTTAAAGGATTCTTTCGTCCAATATTCTTAGGACTTATTCAAAAAAATGTTTCTTCGGTTTGGAATACCTAAACCTTTGCATTGGTCGCAAGCACTTGTGTCACAAAAAAAGTTAGCATATAAATTCAATTACGACAATAATAATCATGATAAACCAATTCATTAACCAAAAAAACATCAGGTTTGAGAACCTGGGTATTTCTCCTCCAAAGGGGGTCCTTCTGTTCGGACCTCCAGGAACCGGGAAGACCCTTTTAGCTCGAGCTTGTGCCGCTCAAACTAAATCTACTTTCCTCAAACTTGCTGGACCTCAACTCGTACAGGTATTTGGGTTTAATAATACTTTTTAAAGTTATTAATAGCAAGTGGCAAATCCAATGATATCACACTTTCGGTCCATTTAAACTGCCTGATTATAGCCTTTCTAGTTTCTAAGCGTATTAAAGTTTTGGGACTTACCACCGACCACGTTTGTACTCAAACTCGCATCTTTTATAATGCAGACTATCCGTTTATAATTATAAAATATAATATGTAAATTATAATATGTATCGTGATGGTTCCTATAGTATGAACTGTAAATATGTTAATTTTTAATATATGGATTATTATCAGATGTTCATCGGAGATGGTGCTAAGTTGGTTAGGGACGCTTTTGCTTTGGCTAAAGAAAAAACACCTGCAATTATCTTTATAGATGAATTGGATGCTATTGGTAAATGATTTAACAATTATTATTAGTTATGCATACTTGATTTAAGTTTTAACACTCATTACTAGCTTATGGGTCAGAATAGAATTTTTGTAGAAGGTAGGAATCAAATAAATCGGCAGCTCTTTTTTATTTAAACAATGAAGGTAGTAAGGCACACTGAGAACCACACTTAAGAAGATTCCATTCTGATGTTTAGCATATTATATTAGTTTATCTCAATATCTTATTATCTTATTATCTTATCTTATTTTCTTAGTTTACCTCAATATCTTATTATGTTATCTTATCATATTATCTTAATATCTTATGCCAACAACAGGTACTAAACGGTTCGATTCTGAGAAGGCTGGAGACAGGGAGGTACAGCGTACCATGTTGGAGCTGTTGAACCAGTTGGATGGGTTCAGCTCTCACCACGACATCAAGGTAGGGACATTAATTAATAAATTAAGTATTGAGTTTTCATTTAATTGGTATAACTCTTGATGATAGACCTTTTATTTCTAGAGCAGTCCGATGATTGTCGCCGATTTTAAAGTCTAGTTTTAAACTGGTTTCATGACTCTCTATTACGCCACATTCAGGTGATAGCAGCTACTAACCGTGTGGATATTCTGGACCCTGCCCTGCTGCGTTCTGGACGTCTCGATCGTAAGATAGAGTTCCCTCACCCCAACGAAGATGCACGTGCACGTATTATGCAGATTCACTCCAGGAAGATGAACGTCAGCTCAGAGGTTGGGAATTGTTTTAAGTGAGACCTTTTTTAAGAGAGAAAACTTTTGAGGAAACTTTTTATAAAGGGCTATTCTTTGGGGGAGATCATCGCCAAACTTACTGTATTAATGAAACCTTGTTTTCAGGTAAATTTCGATGAGCTGGCTCGTTGTACAGATGATTTCAACGGTGCGCAGTGTAAAGCAGTTTGTGTCGAGGCTGGAATGATAGCGCTGCGCCGCAGTGGTTCTGAGCTGCAGCATGAGGACTACATGGACGGAATTTTGGAGGTTCAGTCCAAGAAGAAGACAAGCCTGATGTATTACGCGTAGATTGGCTGTGATTCAGCAGGAGTTATGTCACGTGATTAAGCCTTGTGTTTGTCACGTGCGTTATAAAACTCGGTTGAACCATGTTTAAATTTGGGACTTCGCTACTTCAGATCACTATATTAGTTTGGTAAGATTTACTGTGGCCCTCAATAGCTTTATCTGTTTATATGTACGTACGTCCTAGCGTAGTGGCATATTCGCTTCTTTCAGAAAGTTGTTAAATTTGTGCTAAAATTTTGTGCCAGTATCAAGAGGGGAACTCATTTTGCTAGACTGGTTCTAGTTGTGGAGGTAGCGTCATTATGACGTTATTTATCTAACGTTATATTAAGTTAATTAAAATGGCCTGCTAGTGATATTGTATTTGAATTGATATAATAGCGACTGTTGTATATATTTGACTTCTACAAAATTTAAACTATGTTTATTTGAATTTGAATGCGTTACCGTGAGCAACCAAGGACCAGCCTGGTAGCGTAGTTGCAATGAATTAATATCTATTGTTAATTGGTTGCCCAACGAAAAGTTGGACGGACATGAGAGTTCAGACATGCAATGGTCTTTCCTTGTCTTTCCTTGTCTTTGTCACGAGTGTTATAGGGGCAGCATCGGCCATTCGGTCACAGTCGATTAAAGTCATGTTTGTGACGCGCGAAAGAGAAACCCTGATTCCTTTTACGCGCTTTTTGTCACGTACGAATTATTTAATTGAAATGAGATGTAAATATTATTTACGCGCAGCTAGCTGATGGTCCGTGCATGAATGACGTAGCATCTAGTAGGTCACTTTCTTTCGTCTTTGCAGCGAAACTTTTATAAATATACGACCCACTCTATAAATGTGGCTAATTAGCAATTTGAGCTTGTGTAGTTGTGTGGTGTACATTGTCTTCCATTTCACTGCAGTCAATAATATATAATTGATAATACTCGATACTCGTACTGATCCTCAACACCATTTCCTGTACGCTTGTTAGTTGTTTAATCAAACCACATCTCTCTACGCTGTCAATGATAAGGATTAACTCAATTCTGTGCATAGTAACCAACGAAATTTACTGCTTATTAAAACGCAAATAAATAAAATATCGCATTGAAATGATTGAAAACGTTGTATTTAAATATAATATGCTGATGTGACATCCTAAAGCTTGCAGTTTATTTAGTTACCACGAATGAAATTAATCTGCTTTTCTGTATAGTTCATTGCTTCGTTAGCTTAGTCCTAATTACATGAACGTCAACATTCATTCGGCATTAAACATTTGTTAACACCATGTGCACCAGTGGGAGATCAGGAGTTATCACACCACTATTTACCTGTTAATCACAGCCTAAATGTAGGATCCATGAGAGAACATAGTTATATTTCATGGGTAGTAATCACATGGGTAGTTATCACATGGGTAAGTTACATTATATTAGCGTTAACAAGAGTGAGAGGACAACTTTTAACGGACATATATACCATGATCATAGGAGAATTATATTTATTGTCCTGTTTCCCATTTATTGTCCTGTTTCCCATTTAATTTAATTGTAAAGTTTTTAAATCTGTTCAATACTCCTACACGGCACAAAATTTAAATTTTTTACAAGTAATTTATAAAATCTGTCGCAGAATTAATAAAAGTCGTTTAGTAAATAGTAAATAACAAAATTCCGCGTTTAAGACCAGCAGCATAAAGGATGTTATCAATCATAAATAGTGCATCAAACGAGACATTAATTTTAAATTTAATGTGTCAAACGACATGTACCTGGTACTGTAATTGTTAATTAAAATTTAACTCGTGTTACTAAATATCACAATTTTATTTCTCAGAATGCTAGAAAGATGATAATTAAGTGCTGTTTTTTTATTTCACAAAAACTGGTATTCTAGATCAAAACAAAGGAATACCAAAATCCCAAACATGAGGGGCAAAAGAAGACGCTTCGTTTCCATCGGATATTGAAAAACTTTTGCCTGAAAAATGAATGAGTGTTAATTATATTATTCATTATTGATCCTTAGATGGACAGTTTATCAAAACGCATAGGAATTAAGACCATTGGCGTAACGAAGGGCCGGGGGGCCAAATCGTCGTTTGAATGTGGGACAATTTGAAAAACTTAACTACAGTACTAGCAAAACTGCGCGTTTTGATCTAGAAACACACTTTTATAGAGATTTTACTGGCGTATCCTCTAAAATCATCTAATTTGTTCAATTTTAGGGAGGGGCGCCAACAGGCAACTTTACGCCACTGGGAAAGACCAGCACATTTTAAAATTTATTGGTTCTGACTTAGGTAGTGGTACTTGTTAATCACAATGTACACTAAAAGATGTATTTGTTGGTTTAGAATATTATTGAGTTCAGCTAAAAAACAAACTAGGAATTGACTCTAATAAGCTATAAGCTAAACTGAACATTTTAAAGCGATACTGACCCTCATTTTTAACGCTCGGAGATAATAGTGGAAGGAATCCAGTTCCTCACAGGTGTTCTGGTTGTAACCAAACACTCGGAGTTCCAGGGCCTGGTTTATCAATCGCTTGTGAGATGTGGCGATTTTACACCCCTGAAATTATAAGTTATCAATTTTGAGCCACGAAAAATAAATCTATCGAAATATTTATACAGCTGTCATAGGATTAAAACAAATTCCTAAGTATCTAATTATTGATCAGTGTAAACTAATTGTTACCTGGTAAATAGTCATGAAAAACATTGACCCAAGGACCACGTCTCTCAGCATCACTACCACAAACGAGATCCTCCCGTACGTTTTTACAGTCCGACACACTTGCCTGAACGTTCCATAACTTAATTAACAGTTTAATACATTTAAGATTTAGAAAATCAAAACTTTTCGAACATAAATTAAGGTCACAAGGGATCAGTATGAGTCGGGTTCCTCAGTATGCTACCATATTTGATGAATTCCAAGGAATCTCAACATGCTTTTTTTAATTATATGAATAAAATTACAAATCTTCTTTTCAATCGGGGATGTCGTACAGCTAAGTTCTAAGGACCAACCGGATTATCATTTTAATTACCAGACGTAGGTCTGAATTTCAAGCAAAAAACTAATTACACCCAACCATATTTCCAAACCACTCCCACTACTACTAGTACTGGGCTGTGATATGAAATGAGGTCAATAAAATATGCAAGTTGATATTAAAACAAAAACCTGTATTGCCATTCGACACCTTCATCACATCCTTCGTTTGTAAAAATATTCTCTATTGTCCTGGCCTCCCCAACAGTTTCCAGTATCGAATATACATCTGAAGATTGTATGCTTATAGATTGTCAAATTATAACGATCGGAAATGAAAACAAATTCTTCACTCAATTAACGTGGCATGCAACTGTTCTGACTTCTGATACATATCTCAAAATAAACAATACATCTGAGTATTTTTAGAACATTTTTTTCCCGTTGTACTAAAGCCATCGGAAGGACTATTTCTCGGTAAAAATCGAGTAGTCTTACTTAAAAATAACCTACTACAGGAATGTAGGAATGTAGCATGTTCACATAATATGTTCATGTTTTTTAATCTAATTTTAATTATATTTTGGCTTACCAACGAAAATGCCGTATGCCAAGTAAAAGAGGATGAAAGACATTGCAGGGGCGGATTCACTGTTCATCTTGTGGACAAACGAACTGATATCGTGAGCTTCCTGAACGAGATATTTTATAATATTTACTTAGTAACTAAGTTACTAAATTAATTAGTGACTTACAAGGATGTATTTGTATACTAAGCTAGCTGATAACTAAATAAGTATTCAAATATCCAGTACAGATCGTGTCCCAGAACTAGTTTTGTAACCCAGTTACCCAGTACCCTACAGTGACCTCGTGTCATACTAGTCCTGTACACAATACTATTGGAGACACGATGTACACCAGCATTTAAACAGCATTTCTGGGGCACAACGTCACTACGTAACTGAGCCTAAAAATCTGGGACATTAAGTTCTGGGGCAGGACGGTGTAAAACCCTGACACGATTATAATCAAACGGTACCTGCATCATTGCCTTTAACGTGTTTCGTTTTTCTCTCAGTGTTGCACGAAGCTCCGTTATCAAATACTGAATTAACCTAGCCTGGGAGGCATGGTTTAATTAGATTTGATACTTGCATGTTGTAGCTTAAGGAAAAATATATATTTTTCACATCGATGAGATACACCGTTGTAAATTAAACTGAATAGTATTTGCAGTAACGTCGCCTGACAAAAAATGAACGTGATTGAAATCCTAGTCACAGTGAATCCGAGAATTCTAAAACTTTAAAGTCAAATCTTGACACTGACCTGAATAGTAAAATTGAGAAGTATTGGTGTCAGGAAGATGAAGATAGCAAAAGAGGGCACCGCCACTAACAATCCTCGGTAGTAATGGTCTATGGGGGATCCCTCACCGACCCTGAGTAACAAATCTAATACAGCACTTCACAGGGGAGTTATATAAAAACTCTTGCTCATAATATGAGTTTTCTGAATCGTATAACCAACGAATTTTCATGTTGATGGATTAGTAACGGTAACTAAACCGTAAATTAGCGCGATGGTCAAATATAGCGTTGGATTAAGAATTTCCTTACCCGTCAATTTCATTGTGTAGGGATTGTGGGGAACATCTCCACCAGACGAGCGCTTTGCCACAATAAGAGTTTACCACAGTAAATCCGAACAAGAGCCAGAGACAGACGTACGCACTAGCATAGACCACCCTGAATATAATATCACTTAGGAAATAATCGACAACTAATTGAAAACTAATTGATAATTTATTGACTTCTAATCGACTAGAATGAGTACTGTGCTTGAACTCTATAATAACCAGGCAGGATATTTGTTGAAAAGTTAAGACCAGGAATACCCTTATTTGGTAGGGAAAGGGTTGTGGATACTGGATTCTTGTCTCAAAAAAGGGGCATCTGTATTGGTATTATCCAAGACTGAGGAGGACTCTGGTACTCATTTTGGCCAATACCCCGGTTACATAATTGCATTATATCTATACAAATTTCCATTTTTAATTATTGATAATAATTCTTTCATAGTGACATCTAAATCTTACTTGAGTCTGGTAATAAAGACGTCTCTCCTCATTTGAGAGTTGGTATTGCCTCTTTGACTTACTAATGCCTGAATAGAAAAATAGTAAATAAATAATAAATGAAGGTAAACATCTTGTTTTGTGTGCAAGTGACCAGACTATATAGAATTACTGTCAGTCGCATGGGTATATAAACTTATATAAATATACATATATTTACACATATATATATTTATACTATATATATAATAGTTCTAATGTACCGTCACAATAGTGACTTTAATATAGAATTACTGTTAATTATGGGTGTATAAACTTATATAAATATTCCCGAACCTTCTGAACGAGAGCCTCTAATTGTTCGCTCTGCTTCACTCTGAATATCCAGAAAGTGTAGAGGAACGCTACAAAGTGTATTCCACTGGGAACTATACTTTCTAAAGACGATCTGCACATCCCTGGAGAGATTTAAAGGAGTAAAAGTTTACGGAATGATCGCGACTTAATGACACATTCTTTCCTATCCTAATAATACGTATTATAACAAGTAACATTATGATAAGTAATATGGGAAATATTCATATCATGAGTTTAGAATTTACAATGTTCATGAACTCATTGGCATGGTTTACCGTAATAAAGATGAGAATAATGAATATTATTTACATAATAATATGATGAGTGCTTAATTACCTTCGATGTAATTGTAGGTTAACGTTTTATTTTTGCAAACTGGTATAATTTCATCTTTAGTCATCTTGTCTTGATTGATCTGAAAGATAGGAAACATTAAAAAGATTGGTGGCAAGTAGTCGAGCTCGTTGATATCTACTCGTTGTCATAGATCTAAATCATTTTTGAATCTTCTAATAGAATGAACGATCAGTGATCAGGTCATGAATAATAAACTAACCATAAAACCGATAGTCATGCAATATCAAGTGTAATACTCACATTGCAAAAAACCATGTTCAACGCATATCCCGTTATGATAACCACAAAAATGAGAACTGTCCAAATAAAGCTAAGTGCACGGTGAAATGGATTGTCTGGAGACCCAAAGTTCCGCATACCCAACTGAAAAAATTAACGAAAATCACGAAAAAGTACGTGTATTTTCAGACAAAATTGAATTAAAAGTTGCGTTATAACATCTTCTGATGCAATAAGCTTGGATGTAGCCAAAATACCGTGTCAATACATCTTAAAACAAGCGTGGTAATAATTGTAAGGACACTAATTACGGTAAGTGTCCTTAAAATTATTAATAAAAATTGTATGGTAAGTGACCATTTTCAAGATGTTATCGTAGGGTTTGAGGACTTTCTTCTCGATGGAATGATGGTCGATTTGTCTTTGTGAGACACTGATCACGTCTGATCCCAACATACCCTGAACATTTATAAATGTAACAGTTTAACTTAAGTTTTAAGCTGAATAATTGATAATGAGCTGAGGTAAAACTTACAACTTATAAAATATTTATGATTCTAATTGATAATAATTAGTTGTTGCTAATTGGTTTCCCAAAGAGTGAAAGAGAGTTTTCAACTGCAAAAAAGCAGGAGCATTATATTTCGGACAGTTGAAACAATATTGGCGGGCAAACGATCCGTTTCATGGTATATATACCATGTTTTTTCTAGTAATAGAAAAAACAATTAAATGCCAATATCGTCATTCCTCATTCTAACGTACTATATAGTAATAGTAAAATGGTGACGTTAACCAGGTTAACGTACACATTCTTTAAAAAACAACATACGTTTTGTTCAGCGTATTGTTCAGCAGCCACGTTATTCATCATATCTTCTCGTTTCTGATCTACGTAATCGTTGATGTTAGTTACCCAAGAGGAGAGACTTGATAGACTGTTTAAACGAAAGTTTATGTTTCGTATCAGCGTATTTTCTCTACTAGTACTCGCTTTTGTTGATTTAACACTGTAGCTCGCTTGTCCTGATTTTATATATTTTTTTTGGAAAACAAATAGAATAATATATAACAATATAATTTACAACAATGTATATCGACCAGATTTGATTTATTTATGTAAGAGGTAAGGGTCGGTGAAGTTAAGTTAATAATAGTTTAAGCTTAGTTCTGGATTTTGCTATTATAAATGTAACCTATAGTTTAAATGTATTACCTAAATTGCCAAGGACAACACAATCAGGATCTATACCGGTGGTTGCAGTATAGCCGCTCTCACTGTCTACAATACTAGGTGGCTCTCTCAATACCACTCCATTACTCATAGGATCTTCACCCTGTTCAAACACAGGCAAATATTTTAAGAACCCTGATAAAAATTGAAATATTTATTCTCAAATCTCAGTTATGTCATAACAATTTGTAAAGCTATGGAATCATTTAGATCATATAATTGTATAAATGTGATATCCAAAGTTGTGAGTAGAATTTCGCGTGGCTGTGATTTCATGACTCAGTGAAAGGAAGATATCATTTATTTCCGCTTTAGATGAAACGCAGAGAAGTCGGATTAACTCATTAACCAAGAACAACACAGCGATCTATTTCCCTATCAATATCTCAACAAAAAGCAACCAAATAACTAATAAGTGGAACACTTCAGTGAATAAAACGGAGCTGATGATAATTAGGTGTTTAAAACTTTTAAAATATCATGGTGGCTCCTGTTCTCAGAGAAAGCAAGCGAAGATAGCAAAAAGGAAGTTGTAATCTTATCAATATGCAATGTCTAATGTCTATAATACACATATAACTTCAAGTATTGCTATCTTGGCAAAGTTTCACACAGCACACAAAACTACCATTTCTGATTTCTGACTGAAAAATAAAAATTAGCTTACCTCGATAGAAATAGTGTATTACTCAAACGGGAACGAACACGGAAGGTTTTACAGGCAGCCTTGAAAGTAACCAGTTATCACTCAGCAGGTGAAGATAAGTGGAAGCTTATAAATACCTGTATCACTGTTACCTGACTCGACTGTTATCAGAGAATATGTATCACATGAGATAATTCAGAGCAAGCTTGGCAAACTATCCTGTTACACAAGCATGCGACAAGCTCGGTCAATTTCAACAAGGTTTGGTGAAGAATAATTCATTTTATAGGACTATAGGAGTTAAAGTTCAGATTACCAAGCTCCACACGTACTATAACGGTACGTAACATAAAACATTTATAAATGCTTACTCAAAAACTATAGATACGAGTAGTTTGAATGCTAGGCTGCCTGATGTCTGAGGTAAGGCATAATACTGTCAGACTGAGTAAACTGTCAGAGAGATGCAGCTAACAAAACCACGTCACCTGTTTAAACTGCAAACTAGACCGCAACTATAAAAGTTAATTTATTGTAAGAGACAACCGTCAACCATTTATGATTTATTTGAGAGTGTTATAGGTATTACTTAAAAAGGAATCAGAATTTGTAAACTCAGATCAAATGTCAGAACATCATGACACTAGATAACATCATGACACTATAAATAACATTACACGCATGCATGATCCAGTGTGTTCTATTAAAAAGTACAGTCCTTTTTTGCCGCCCCCTGGCCTCTATATAGCTTTTTGCTGTCCCCTGGAAGTATTTTCTATACCCAAATATTTTTTCGCCTCGACGAACGTTCAAGTGGACGGGATAATACACAATTTCTGGGAAATCCTCCGCGCGCGTCGTATAAAATCCGCGCGCAACAAACATACTCGATGTGAAACTTTGCTGTTGTCATACAAATTTAACAATCGACGATCGCGCCGCCAGATCTGTGATAAAGCAGGTTATTGTGACAGCTTCGAGCCATTTATAAACCTAGGTAATTTATTGGTAAATGGAAAATAGTAATCATAAGAAACCAATTTTGCGTTCTACTTGATGAGAACGTACATTGTGAGTCCATCTGGAAACATTTCAGTAAATATGTATGCTGATAGTATATAATTGTAGACGGGAACTTATCTGAAAGGACTCCGATATTAAGTCACTGAGATAGTAGGTACTAAGTTAATTTACAATGTTAATTTGGTTTAATGGTGATCTAGATGTAAACCTCCTCTAGAAATAACTAAGACTTTCATGAGGAGAGATGAGTGGAAATCCAACGGCCGAGCACAATTCCTTTAGAGTCAAGGCTAAGGGTATGGAATGGGTTTGTGAAAGTTGGGATGAGATTTTAAGGTTTTTAATTTCATCTGAGGATGTCTGCTATTAGACTTATTAAATTATCACGAACAGCATTCAAATGTAAATGCATGTAAATTAGGTGTATCAAAAAACAATCAACGGTAGTTGATAATAAGCTGTTGCTTGGTTTCCCAAAACAAGTGAAACACTCGAAATAGTGTTTCTATAACTATATAGTTATAGAAAAAACAACAGACGAATCGTTTCATGGTTATAGAAAGAACAATACCATTCCTGGTGCATAACACTAAATTATAGAATAGAACCGGTGATAACAATGCGGCCACCGTAAAATGATTATATTCTATAAGCTGAACAGGTGCCTTGAAATCAATCCAAAAATTCACACAAATGGCAATCAAATGGTAGTGATTAGTAAAAATGCAATATATCCAATAAAAAAGTAGCAACTGCAGGCATTTTCTTGGCTATAATAATTAGCTTGCAATCCAACCAACTGACCCAATTAAATTCGAGAATTTCTCTCTCAAGTCACGTGTCTCAACAACAAAATAAAAACTTTCGTATGAACAAGTTTGTTGCCAAACTAATCTCCGGAATTGTGATCTAATTAACTAGATATGATTTTACGATTCTGCAAAAACTACAAATCGGTTTGTTGAACGAATAGAATCTTTCAGAATTCAGGTCCATAAACTGACAATTTTATCAATCAATCGACTAAATATCTCACCAATTAACTTGTTAATGAAATTTTTTTCTAGCTCACAAATTAGTATCTGACTAATCTTCAACTAGCAGTTGCATTTCTTTTTTCCTTTAGGTTTTGGAACTTCAAAACTGTCATCTAATCGAATATTTCGTGTTGGGGCTGGTGGAGATCTGATCAAGAAATCTGGTACACTTCGACCTGAAAGTAGCATTATATAATCAATATGTTAGTACTACTAACGTATTTAACATTAACTCTAAATTTATTTGTTGCATCTTGTTTTACAGGAAGTCTTACAAAAAAAATACAGTACCTTGACAAGTGACAAGGAATGTTAGTTTATATTTCCAAGATATTTCACCCCTAAAACGTAAGACTGTAATGTACAATCAGGTATCTTATCAGCTTACAAATTACATGTGTACAACTTGATATAGAATGACACCTTTGTTCTAAAATCTTAGAATATCTTCGATCTCATGTTACAGGCAGGCAACTGGAAACGCCAGGAGCGCCCTGTGAAAACGAGACAAAACTCATTGTCTAGCTGCACGTGGCAGTTTCAAAGGTCACGTGGCAGTTTCAAAGGTCACGTGGCAGTTTCAAAGGTCACGTGTGATACTCACGTGACTCTAAGGGTTGGGGGTTTTGGACAAAGTTATTTCCGGTTATGAACAATTGTAATGCTGGATCAACATTTGTGGAGATGTAATTGCACCTTAAAAATATTTAGACAATTGGTTAATTTACCAGATACGTGCCCCACTTCCTGATACAATAACATATTAAATACTTTTAATAATTTTTAAAAACTGACAAATGTGAAGGAAGGCGTCCTCAATGTTTGACCCTGTTTTCGCTGATGTCTCAAAGTACGGTACTCCGTTGTCATTAGCAAAACTTTCAATCTCTTGGACTGATACCTGGGGTGAAAGTTGTTATCATACCTTATATGGGCATCACGTGTCTCTACAGAACATACCAGCGGCAGCAGATTTAGTGGCCTTGTTATCATACGAAAACGGGACTTAAGTGTAAAGTTAAGCAACAAGTTTTTCCGATCAGATACTTTAGTGCAAAAACTTCAATTCATTACCAAAATTTATTATTGGCTAATAATCATATCAATTATGGCCAGAGTAAGAGTCCAGAGCACGTGTGCTCTAACATGGATGTTACTGGTTTCCTCGATCATAAATTACAGTCAAATCCTGTTTAATACTTGCGCCTGCCTAGTCTGAGCATTTCCCATACTAAACATTCTTTGTCCCAATTGTTTTTACTTAAGTTTTTTACTGTGTAATTCTGTATTATTTGATGGGAGTTTCAAATAAAATCATATTGAGAGGATAAAATTGAAATATTTATCAACCTTTCTGCTGTGTGCTAAATCTGCTTTGTTTCCCACCACTACTAGAATCATGCCCTCAGTTCCTATGTCTCTTAAATCTTCTATCCATTTAGTTAGACTCAGGAAAGAATTCTGTAAAAATCAGAATTTCAAATTTCAAAATAACAATAGTTAATATATCAACACACAATAGTTAACAGACAAAATCTTAAAATATCTACTAATTTTTAACAAAAAGCATCTAGATGAGTATGTAATCAATAAAGTACTTTTTTCGGAAACAAGGCCATCGTTAAAGCTCAATTTATAATCTCAATAAGAAAAATTGTAAAAGATTGTTTTTATAGCACGTGTTAGAACGTGGTTACTGGTTATAACAACGAACTATAGTCACGTGATACCTCGTATGTGATGTCGAATGCTAGGATTGCAGCTGCGGCCCCCCTGTAGTACATCGGTGCTAAACTCCTGTACTGTAAATTAAAATTATCAATCAATATAACAGTAACCAAGCATGTATTAATATCACATGTGTCGAATAATTAAACGTGTATTCGTTTAATCTTTGGTTGTTGGGAAGAATTCATTCAGAATATATAATTTTGAATTGTGATGAGAATGTTGCAAGGCGATTAAAATAAGTAAATATTTTAGGAAACTAACTTGCTCTTGGCCGGCAGTGTCCCAAATCTGAACTTTGTAAGACGCCTTCTCTAAATTTACGACTCTTGCAATGTATGACGCTCTGAAAAAACGTGATATTGCTAATAAGTAATTAATAATTAGTAATCAATCAAGTAATTAATCAAGTCATCAATAAATTTGTGAACAGAATCTTCATGGCTTAAAAAAACCTTATTATCCATTGATAGTATGACAATCTCATCATAAGCAATGAAACATGTTTGCAGTTTTGCTATGAACATTTCCAGGCCATAAATATCAGCTATAATCCTCATTCCGGTAAATAACTACCATATTTTCATAAAGTATACACAATCCACGGACCACAACACTACAACAGTCACTTTACTAATAAGTCACTAACAAGTCACTAACAAGTCACTAACAAGTCACTAACAAGTCACTAACAAGTCACTAACAAATCACTCTACTAATCAGTCACTGAATAATATAATGCTTTACCCGACTGTAGGATGATCCATCTCCGTAAAAGTATCCTGAACAAATCTCCGGGCAATGCAGCTTTTCCCCACACCTGAGTCCTGGAATAACATTCATGTTAGGAGCCCTTCAGATAAATATAATATCTAAACTGGATGTAGTAATCTGACCCTTGATCGGGTCTGATATTTACATCTGCATTCTTACATTGTAGATGAAAACATCTGACCCGATTGAAATGTTTTCTCACTGAATATAAGTTTATCAACATGCTTTTTGATATAACAATTGGTGCAAGCAATTTGTTCGCACAGTAAACGACTTACCCCGAGTAAGCATACTTTTATCTGTCTTTCATCTCTCTTTTGCATTCTAGATAAATTGTCATTGATTAATTTTCTTAAGTTTCCACTGGAATCTGGATGTTAGCCCTAGAGACTTGGGCTATAACCCGTTAGTCTTTTTCCTGTACAGAGATTTTTCTAGAATAACTCCATTTATAGAAAAACTTGATATTGGCTCATCATTAAAGTCTAAATGCATAACTGAACATTGAGTAGGATTGAACCTAAAAGCCAATTACTTTCCACATATCTTGTTCCTTTAAATCTTTAACCGTAGTGTCATGCTGATACACATTTCCAATGAGGTCATCTGCAAATAATTTAATTTTACTCTTAACACTATTTTTTAAATGTAATCCAACGTCTTTGCTTTGGCCTTCTGTTATAAAAATTTGATTCTGGTAAATGTATGCTGACTCCTGCACCTCTGTAGCGTAAATTATATAGTAGGAATTTTATAGGTGGAAATTTTGTAGGTTATTAAAATATTCTAATATGGTAATTATTGAAATGGTTCACAGTTTATGTGTAATTCTGTGAAAAGATTGTAGATTCAAGAAAACAACAATTTCAAGATTGTTGATATTTAATAAACTACATTAGAAGATTATTAAGCAAACTAATTTGTAAATTGCCATATTGTGGCCTTTTAAAAAAACTTTTACGAATAAGGTTCACAAATTTGCCATGAATTTTTATTCATTTAAATCCAAATCTGGATTTGTAGTTGGCTGTCATTCTATTAATGCCCCACACTGCTAGTTCTACTCTGTTTAACACAATTACGAAATAAATAGGTTGCTGTTTGGTGTGAGCAATAGCACACAGCACCGTCGCCCTTTTGCACAGTCAACCTGCGTCTAAATTGTTTAAGGGGTCGTTCACATATTACGTAATCAATCTTTGGCAATTCGTTTTTTAAGCAGAGCCCACGTTATTGGAGCCCCCCCCCCCCCCTGCAATTGCACCTCCGACCCCAGGATAATGTTGTAATACATGATGGAGAAGAGGAAGAAGATGAAGTAGAATACGTCAGCTATACAGGTAAATTCTTGAAAATCCAATTCTATAGACTCATTGCAGCCATGATCCATTGACTCTTGAACATTTTAACAGATGAATTCATAATTGCGCTTCATTTTTATCTAAATCTTTTCAAACAATACATAGTTATACAGAATTGAATGCTTCTAAATAAACCCAGTTATAAAAGGAGAAAACCGATATAGCCCTAATTCCACTATCCCAGTATGAAACCCAAATTATGTATTGAAAGAGGGGTAACCAAAACACAATAACGAATAGTCTACTGTACAATCAACAGCAACACCGTCTTTCTCAGGAAACTTTACACTGCTAGCTGGAGTTTGGAAAAAATTGCTTAAAGACTATTATATCAGATCGCCCTCTAAACTTACAAGGAAATATTTCCTGTAGATCCTTGGTATATAAGCAACATTTGACAGAGCATAGTGTGGAGTGAGCTATGTGCCCATCCTTCGAGAACCCGGTGGATGTCTTTGCTGTACGGCAGTGTTAAACAAGGAACTGAAACCGAGGGGTTCCGTTCAGGCCCTTCACACTTTGTTTCTGTCTAGTTCTAATGTACCGTCACAATAGTGACTTTAATATTATGAATAATCTATGGAGAAGGATCTAAACTAAAAAGTAAATACATTGGAGTGCAGTTTAAGATGAGAGATATTACTCCTTCTTTGGACTCAATCTGACTAAGAGGCTGTACAAGATGGCAGACAATCTGCCAATGCCCAATAGAACTACAACCAGAGCACCTATCAGCTCTTCATGTAGGCAAAGCTAAATAAAAGCATTCAATGTCATTAAAACCCTTAATTTAGGGCATGAGAAACGAGGTGACCTTCACTCTTCAGTAAATTGTGGGAAACCATCACTACATCAGCCAGAGGTATTCCCAACCTAGACGAGCCAGTTCTCCCCAGGCACAAACACTGGAATAATCACAATACCAAATACACTGGTAAGTGGTTTCTAATGCCCCTGCTAGCTATGCACCCTGCTAGCTACTACACCGAGGATCATTTTCAGGATAACGGTCTTTAATGATGATACATCATTAAATATTTCATGTTTTTATGCAATATGGTCATTGGTCAAGTAATTAATTAACGCGGCCCCGCGGGTTGACGGATGTTACTCGTCTAAATTTCTTCGAAGTAGCGCGCCCCGCTTTCTTCTCGATGGCAAGTGCTACGAAGTAGCGCGCGCCGGGCCAGACCATTAACAATGGTCAACCCCGCGGGTGATGACTGATGCTTGTAAAATTTGTATCACGTCGTGACCCCCACGGTCGTTTCACTATCGTAGAGTTTCTACGATACAGTGCCGGGGAGCCGCGCGGCGGGTCATACATGCAACGTATGACAATGTAAAATGCTTGTTGATCCAAGACTGTCGAGTGTCGACGCGACGAGTCAAACTCGCCGCGCATCTTGGTATTGGAGGACTTCGACGCGCCGCGCGAACTAGCAATAGCATTCTTGCTCCGTCGACGATCGTTGCTCTGCTTCGCAGAGCAACGATTTCGATGGGTTGACATCGTCAATCAAATCTTGGTACGGTAGGAATTATAAGTAAAACAAAATTTTAGCTTACCTGGGACCCCAGGCTTATTGTTTATACATAAGTAGTAATGTATGTGCTGATTTGGCTGCAAAAAATATCTATTCTGCACAGTTGTCACGTGGTGTAAAAGAGAGCCTCTGATTGGTCATTAAGGCAGTGTCACGTGATTTATATTCGTTTTTGTGAATCTGGTTGGCTAGTTGGCGTTGTCACGTGATCACAGGTAGTCGACCACAGGTGGTCGAACTACAAATTACCATTTATGGTATAACAAGGGGACATTGCCTTCTAATATGGAATAGGGTTTCTATCGAGTCACGTGATCAAGGTTAAGACCAATCAGCGTAAAATACGAGTCACGTGATCAAAAACAGCCAATCTGCTTTACCGGTACCGGATCGACGTGTCTTTTTTGCAAAAAATATCTATTCTGCACAGTTGTCACGTGGTGTAAAAGAGAGCCTCTGATTGGTCATTAAGGCAGTGTCACGTGATTTATATTCGTTTTTGTGAATCTGGTTGGCTAGTTGGCGTTGTCACGTGATCACAGGTAGTAGACCACAGGTGATCGAACTACAGATTACCATTTATGGTATAACAAGGGGACATTGCCTTCTAATATGGAGTAGGGTTTCTATCGAGTCACGTGATCAAGGTTAAGACCAATCAGCGTAAAATATCAAAGGATGTAAACATCAGTTTTACACAAAGACAAAAATAGAATGAAACTACAGCTTCCAATTACAAATTTACATATACTGTACACAAAACTGGAAAGTGAGGCCACTCCCTCACTTTACAGATCTAAACATTTAGACTTGTTAAATAAAATATAGCGAGTTTATTGTGTGCAGCAGATGTGCTGTGTATATAATAGACAATAGTGCGACATCTTCATTTCTCCTTCAGGTATTTTGCGTTTGTGTGTTCTATTTTTCGTTTTCTCTGTAAAATGAGTTTGATCAAGAATCTTGGTACCATAAAGAAGCTTGGGTTGAATGGAAAAGGCTATACTAAATTGGTCATCAGCGTAAACTTACCTTTCTGGACTAAATATCTCCAATTTAACGTTTGGAGTAAGGATCTTTTATTTAATTCTGCAGAGAAAAAACAGTTCCAGTTAGAGGATCAAGTGGAGGTAAAATATTATTACAATGGTGACTTCCCGCAGCTTACAAGTCTAACCAAAACATGCTTGGAATACTGTCCCGTTTGTTATAGTGGTTTGGAAGAAATCGAGAGCCAGAGAATGGAGTGCGGCGGCTGCAGCATAACTCCTAACGACGAACGGAGAGAGCGAACAAATGATGTGATGACCTTGATCGCGTGCACTGAAAAACAATATCGGTATTCAGTGGGTTACAAGTTAAAACTATCATACCCAGAATGGGACTCCTCGTTCATCACTGTTGTGTTTCCTAACAAGTTGTTCCTCTACTCAAAGATACCTCATTTGGAAGTTGGGAAACTCTACAAAGTCGTGGGTTGGAAGGGTGGAAATTTATTCGATTTACTCGATATATGTGAAGTTGACAATTAATGTAACCAACCCAAATTTAGGTGGTAACATTGAGTTTTATTTTATTGAATTGAAGTTAAATATACATATGTAGCTTTATTTCTCAGTGATAATATACGATTGTTTTATTTGTTCCTCTCAAATTCGACAAAACTGAATCGCAAACGTCGTCCCATGCATACAAAAATCACGAAGTACAATAATTTTATACCAAATGTAAACAAACAAATTTTAATTTCCGTATCGATCATTGCACATTCAACTTTGGGCAACACACACGCAAGATAAATTGAAAATGAAATTAATTTACGAGTCAGTATAAACTTTAAAAAGTGGTCCCAATGGGGAAGAGGTCAGACGGGATTCGAACCCGTATGTTCCCGCTTGGGAAAGTTACCATTGACTTACTAACCTGAAGACCCATCAGAGTAGTATATCAGGGTTGAATCTCACCCCGAAACAGTATATATTCTGCTCGACCTTCTGATTGGTTTAAAACCGTCACGTGAGCTGCAGAACAGTGTCTAGTTGGCTATTGAAACCTGTCACGTGACCAAGGAGCATATCACGTGGGTCAAAAAGCTGTGTCTGATTGGTTGAGTTTCTCCTAAAGACTTCTCTTTGCAAGGAAAAGTGAGAGATGAGACAACTAGCTCAACAGACGAGCACTTTAATAAGTAAGAGACCAATGTTTATATCTTTTATTTTACAGTTACACTCACATCACACGCAAATTCACATTTAGTTTCACAAGCATGGGAGCTCACCTGGTCCAACGAGCTTGGTATTTATAATCACTTATACTGCACTCTCATGCGGCTTCTATATTAATATAGAAAGTGATACAGTGTCACATGCAACTATAAGTATAATGTTTGGATGCACACTATGATAATCACGA